ACACACACACACACACACACACACGGGCAAACACACACACACACACACACACACACACACACACGGGCACACAGACACACACACACACCACACACACACACGGGCACACAGACACACACACACACACACACGGGCACACACACACACACACGCACACACACACACACGCACACACACACACACGGGCACACACACACACACACACACACACACACAGAGACACTCACACACACACACACACACACGCACACTGCGTGCGCGTTGCCGCCTTAATGAGGTCTCCTCTGGTGTTTCGTAGGAACGTCTCCATGAATACAGAAGACGTCCTTTTGGACGCAGACGTTGTTCTTTGTTGTGGTTTTGTTGCCTTTTCTTTGATGTGTAACAAGTTGTTTTGGTACGATACGGAATAATTGTGTCCATGTACACAAAATGCATTTGGTTGTGTTGCATAATGAACAGCCAACACATCAATAATCAAACACAAACGCAGTTGTCATTTTGTGTTACACACTTAATCTTATGTCTGCTATAATTAGATAAGTAGAGGTACACACAGCTCCTGTCACAAATAAAACAGGGACAACGGGTGATGGGACCTTCTCCTCCTCCTACCAGAGGACCTCTGCTTGGGGAGGAGCCTTCATCACGTATCTGCCTTCATTCGGAGACGAGCAGCGACAAGAGAAAAGATCCCGTTGTTGTTGTTATTAGACGTGTGCAGTCGTCCCTCCCCAGTGAGACCCATGTGAGAGGGGGCCGCTTCAGAACGATGCTATTTATAAAGAGAAGAGCACGGAGAGCATTTTGTGGAGATCACACAGAACCTGGACCGTCAGTGAGTAGAGAGGTGTGTAGTCACACACACACACACACACACACAGTTTACCCACATGCACAGAGACACATAAGTACCTGTGGACCTGATGAAGCCTGAGGTTATGGTTATGATGCATGGTGCTGTGGGTGGATGGTAGTTACACACACACACACACACACACACACACTCCGCAGAGAGAGAAAGCGATCAATGATCACCCAGAGTGAACTTTGCCCTTTAACATCAGTAAAAAGTAAGGAAAAAGAGAAGGAAAAGACTGAGGAATTGAAGCAAAGGAGGGAAGGAGTTATGAGACCACAGAAAGGAAAGGAAGGAGGTAGGTAAGAGGACACAGAAGTAAGGAAAGGAAAGGAGGGAGGAAGGCACAAAGCCACTGGAATAATAAAGTAAAAGAGGGAGTAAGGAAAGGAGGGAGTTAAAAGAGGAAAAGAAGAGGAAGGAAAGAAAAGGAGGAAAGAAGGATGATGGAAAGGAAAAGGGGGGAGAAGGTAAGAGGCCACAGGAGGACATTCAGCATCCAGCAGAGCAGGAAACAGAAAGAGGATGGATGGCCGAGGCGCTGAGCGCTAATCTGCTAGCAGTGGCGTCTGTGATGTAATACTTAATGCATGCAGCAGCTGATAAATCAGCTGATGGCGCGTTGAGAGGGTCAGAGCTAATGACATCATCCACAGAGAGAACACTTCCAACCCTCACATCCACTCACTACACCTCTCCTACTCCACCCGAGGGGGTTACGGTTCCCTCCGGCCACATACGCTGGAGCTCAAGTACAATGTCACGTGATGCTGCAGGAATATCTACTTACAGGTTTTTTTGCAAGCTAAAAGCTAGCACTTCTTTTCAAGAAGTCAAGAACCAACCAGAAAGAGACTTGTTATAACCAGGAAGAAAGAGACACAGACTACAGAGAGACAAAAGAATTACAAAGAGACACAACTACAAAAAGACCTAAATAAAACAACTACAGATAGACAGAGACGTTTTGTTGACGCCAACGCGTCATAATGCGTTCACAAGCTAACGCTTTCTCACAGGCTAACCCGTCTTCACTCGGGTCGGGTACCGAGAAAGGTACGTAGATACCGGTCCTATACGACCGAAACGCAACGCAGATTTTGGTGCTTGCTTTCGGTTCCTGAGCCGATTAAAAAACTTTATTTACACACTGTGATGACTCGTCCTCGCAGCAGCTAACAATAGCTCACCGCTTACGTAGCCACAGTAGCTAGTTAGCCATCTGCCTACTCGTTATGTGGACGCAGACAGACGATTGAGACCACGGGCTCACCAGCGGACACAAAGCGCGTATTAAAGTATTAAAGTATTAAACCGAGTGTGTAGTGTTGTTCCTTCGATGTTGTTCGTCATTAAGCCGCATTGAGCTGCAGACACGTGACTTCATTTCCTCACGTGAATGACGGCAGATCGTTTAGATCTTTTTGTCTTTATTTTACGCGGCAAAGTGTTATAATGAATTCTATCACAGATAAACGATGTGCTCTCGCGCCTCACGCAGCTCTTACGTGTTGCACCTGCTGCAATCATCACGGCAATAAATCGAGACACACAGGAAGCGTCAATCCAACTTTAGTGCACAAAGCATAAATGATTAATAGTCCCCAAATTCCAATGAACGCATAGATACACTTCTTACAGAGGACAAACACTAAGTATACTGTTAATATATTGTTCAAAGGCTAACGTGTCCTCATAGGCTAACATGTCCTCATAGGTTAACATGTCCTCATAGGGTAACGTGTCCTCATAGGCTAACATGTCCTCATAGGCTAACGTGTCCTCATAGGCTAACATGTCCTCATAGGCTAACATGTCCTCATAGGTTAACGTGTCCTCATAGGCTAACGTGTCCTCATAGGCTAACATGTCCTCATAGGCTAACGTGTCCTCATAGGCTAACATGTCCTCATAGGCTAACGTGTCCTCATAGGCTAACATGTCCTCATAGGCTAACATGTCCTCACAAGCTAACGTGTCCTCATAGGCTAACATGTCCTCATAGGCTAACATGTCCTCATAGGCTAACGTGTCCTCATAGGCTAACGTGTCCTCATAGGCTAACATGTCCTCATAGGCTAAAGTGTCCTCATAGGCTAACATGTCCTCATAGGCTAACGTGTCCTCATAGGCTAACATGTCCTCATACGCTAACATGTTCTCACAGGCCAACTTGTCCTCATAGGCTAACGTGTCCTCATAGGCTAACGTGTCCTCATAGGCTAACATGTCCTCATAGGCTAACGTGTCCTCATAGGCTACGTGTCCTCATAGGCTAACATGTCCTCATAGGCTAACTTGTCCTCATAGGCTAACATGTCCTCATAGGCTAACGTGTCCTCATAGGCTAACATGTCCTCACAAGCTAACGTGTCCTCCTAGGCTAACGTGTCCTCATAGGCTAAC